CCTCTGGGATTGTAGTTGCACCTCTTTACCACTAGGCCACCAGAGCTCCCCTTATCTCTACTTGTTTTTACAAACAGTTTACACACAGCCCAGCACAAGTCTCTAGGCCGTAAGCGATTTATATGATGCAAAATCAGTACCGCTCATTAAACTATTCACAAGCTCTTTTGAAAGAAATCATACTATAACTTTTTTCTTAGGAGAGTTCTTGTCATTTGTAAAACTCAAGCATTCGATGAGGTGACCTCAAGGAGCCTTTTTTAATAATCTATGTTTTTTTTTATTTTTATTTTTTTTTAAATTTAGGTTGTTTATTTTTCATTTCAATGAACAGAGATTTTGGGATTCCATTCATTCATTGTTGCACCCTTCTCCCCGCACAAACCCCTCATAATCTATGTTTTTAAAAACTACCAGTCTGTGGCACATTAACCAAGACTGGAGAAAGCATGTATGAGAAGCTGTGGTATATTCACACAATGGAATACTATGCAGCACTAAAAACCAAGAAACTAATAAAATATTATGTAAAATGGGTGACCCTAGAGGACATTATGCTGAGAGAAATATCTCCGTCACAAAAGGACAAATATTGCATAATGCCTCTGTTATAAGACAGGACTGACATGGGACAAAGAAGAGCTAAATAATGTTCACTGTGTTGAAAAAGATGAGAGAAAACTGTTTAAAGGAATATATGATTAGGTATTATTTTCATGACAACAGTCTAGAATAAGAGTAGCACAGCAAGCTGGACTGGGGGTAGGGAGGAAATTGTGCAAAAAAGAAAGAATTTTTTTCAGAGAGAAAAGTGAACTTGGCGGGGGGGGGGGGGGGTGGGCTAGGGAGGAAAATGCCCAACATTGAAAGAATGGAAATCCAAGTTCTCTGTAAACTTTTGTTAAAAAATCTCAATTAATAAAAAACATGGAGGGGAAAAGGTTAGGGATAATTTTTTACTAATTAAAATCTTCTATTTAAAACAAAACAAACAAAAAAATAAAACAATGTAATAGATTGCAAGCTCTTTGTAGCCACCCAATTCAAAGTGGCCGCCCCACAACAGGTGAGCATCTGTTGTTCCTACCTGAGCAGACACGACCAGACAAGTTCGGCACAGCTGCCGAAGCTGCATTAGGTGTAACAGAGGGTCCATACGTGTGAGAAGCACAAAACTGTCTCTGGTCAGTTGGAGGTACAGCAGAAGACAATAACTCTCTGGGAACGAGAGATAAAGTAGCTGAAATGAGGCTGGAGGAAGAGGCCATTTCTGCAGTACTTTGCTCAGGCAGTTGTTTGCAGTGCGTGAGATTTCTATTGGTTTGATTTTGTGTTGTGTTTTCCGTATGGAATTTTACCTTCTCTTCCCAAAATGAAGCATAAAATTGTGCCATCACTTTTGGAGTAAGTGGAAATGTGGGAAGGAAGATTAAGACCTTGTTATTACGCAAGGATTGATCTAACAAAACCAAGAAAAAGAAAAAGGAAAGTTCTAGGGATGTCTCGAGAATTGTTTTCTTGCCTAATGCTATTTCAGTAGCTGTAATGCAATAATTACAAGATACTCTGCTGATTACAGCTTCCAGACACCTCCCACCACCTCCCCTTCCAAGCCCCCTCGACTTACTCATTCAGCAAAGATCTAAGAAGCACTGGTAGAACACCCTAGAACCTTAAGAATCATATGTGTGTGTGTGTGTGTGTGTGTATGTATATGTATATATACACACACATACAAATGTAACCAAATCAATACCACTCTATTTTAAACATTTTTACTCTTAAACCCCAAATTCTTTCACATGCTGTTGAAATACTTTGGCTTGATTGGTTATCTGGGATTTTATATGATATCCGAGCAGACAATTTATTCTTTTTTCCTCTCTTTTTTATTACTAATTTTAATAAAAAGTTTACAGACTTTGGATTTCCATTCATTCATTGTTGCCCTTTTCTCCCTGCTCACCCCTACCCCCCCAGTTCTCTCTGCTCTTTGAAAAGTAAAAGAAAAATTCTTTCATTGTTATATAAGCCCTCTCCCCACGTCCACTCCACTATGCAGACTTCATTCTGAACTCCTGTCATGACAATAATACCAACTAATATATCCTTTTTAAACAGTTCTCTCCCTCTTCTATTTCAATTCAGTATACATAATTTATCCCCTCTTTTCTTAAGTTTTATTTAACCCTGATGTCAGTCCCATTTTACAACAGTGTCCCTATGCAATATTTGTCCTTTTGTGACTGAGGCATTTCACTCAGCATAATATCCTCTAGGGTCACTCATTTTGTATAACATTTCATTAGTTTCTTGTTTTTCAATGCAGCATAGTATTCCATTGTGTGAATATACCACAGCTTCTCTATCCATTCTTTTGTTGATGGGCACTTGGGTTGTTTCCAACTCTTTGCTATTGTGAACAAAGCTGCAATAAACATGGGTGTGCATTATTCTTTATTCTTTCTACTAACCTCCAGTAATGACTAGAAGCCCAGCTTTTCTGTTCAGACTCAGTGAAAAAATGAGAAGTAATGGTTCTTACCTTCTCAGACAATCAAATTATTCTGAAGAAGGAAAGACAGGCAATGACCAGAAAATGCAGCCAGAATACTTACAGTTTCACTTGTATGGAAAAGAAAGAATTGCACCTTTCCAGGAAATCTAAATGCCTGTACCTGTGCGGTACCTGTCACATACCAGCGCTGCTTAGATCGTTGCTGAGTGAGTAGGTCGAGGGGACTTGGGAGGGGAGGTGGTGGGAGGTGTCTGGAAGGTGTGATCAGCAGAGTATCTTGATGTGAATTGTTGCACTGCAGTTAACTGAAACAGCATTAGGCAATAAAACAACACTGGAGGTAACACCATTCTAAACACAAAGATAATTCATTCACTTTCACCTGGGGTGGGAACACTATAACGGAAAGAAATACCTTTCAACTGTTCGAAGTTCATATGGTGAGGGACCCACTGGGGTCTTCTGCTGCCTTGATATTGTCAATAAAGGGTTCACAGCCATTGTAGGATTTATCATCATCAGCTTTTGCCACCGGTGGAATTCTAAAAAGGACCAGATTACAACAAATGACTCCTTTTTTGAGAACGATTTGGAATTTTTTTGAACAAGGTGAAAATCTTTTGTATCTTCCCTGCACTGGAGAAAGACATACAATAACATCTTCGTAGTAAGCACCCAGGCACAACAGAGGAACGTGGTATTTTACAAATGTGCCCTTGAACTCGCCCCGCAGGCCTCTGGTTATGGCACACGGCACTGCAAGCAAGACTACATGAAACCAGTCTTGCAGGATTCCAGAAATACCAACTCCTTCCTTACAACCTATCTGAATTTTTACACTTTTCGAAGGTCTGACACCTAACAATGACAGAGGGATAGGTGCATAAATTCTTCCATTTATTCAATCTTTGTAAAAATAATTCTGCCCAGTTGATAACATTAAAACAGAAAATGAAGTGGGGTGGGGATGCTCTTCATGGCTAAAAATATATCCAATTAGAGAGGACATAGGCTGGCTACACATGACTGTATTTAGAACAAGTGCCCAATTTATGGCTGAACACAAAAACACAAATATTCTGTATCTCTAGAACTTTGTGATTCGGAAAAGGGCATTATTCTTAAGGGTCTAATTTTTACCCTACATTTCTTGTGAATTATTAATGTCCTTGAAATGGTTTTATTATTTTTTATGTGTGTACCATCAAATAGTATCTGACTGGAACAGAAGGAGATTGCCCCTGCTTCTCCAGCAGAGCATCTGGTGGATTTGAACCTCATACCTCTGGGATTGCAGTGCAGCTTCTTGCCACTAGGCCACCAGAGTACCCCCTGAAACTGTTTTAAATATTAAACTATTATTAATGGAACAGGCCATTTTAGCTGCATCTTCAGTCTCAGCTGTTACTTTTTATTAAAATAAGTTGAAATTCCAATAGCTGTGTTTCAAAACCAGAAATGGTTATGTGCTATCAGTCAACTGCAACTCATAGTGACCCTATGAATAGTAGCTCTGAGCCCTGTCCTGTCCTGAACCAATTTCACTGTCTCCCACACACCTGCCCTCATTAACCTAGTCATTGTGTCAACCCATCTCATCCAAGGTTTTCCTCTCTTCTGCTGACCGTCCACCCTTCCAAGCATGATGTCCTTTTCTGAGGACTGGTCACTTCTGGCAATAATCCAAATGTATGTCAGACCGAGCTATATCATCCTTGCCTTCAAGGAGTAACCTGGCTTCACCCTCTCCAGGACGGACCTGTTTGTTCTCCTGGCAGTCCACGGTATGTTCAATACTCATCTCCAGCACCACTCAAAGGCATCGATTCTTCTTCTGTCCTCTTCAGTCATTGTGCAGCTCTCTGATGCAAAGCAAGTAATTGCAAAGATCATGGCCTAGATCAGGCGCACCTTAATCTCCCTACTGATGTTGTTGCTTTTGAAATGTTCTACCTATGATCACTCTTACAAGTGCTCCTTATAATCACTGTTAGAACAAAATCATTTGCCAACCTGTGATAAGAATCCCAACAAAGAAAGCAGGCTGGGTAAGCTGGATGTGGGCTTGCAAATCTGACTGCACTCAGCGCTGTGGCTTAATGTCTCTGAGTGAACAACTGTCTTCTCGCTAGTCCATTACACAGCACAGCAACGTGGGACACAACTTGGAGTTATATTTGGAAATAGAGCTCAGCTCTGAATTGTGGCATAAACTGATGCTCTCCGGAAGATGTTTGCGATTGAATGCTGGGAGGTATAAAATATGGTGTTCCCTTTGCATTTTATGTGAGATGGGAATCAAATCAGGAGAAAGGAGCCAAACAATGAAAATAAAGAGGAGTGAGAGATAGAGACTCTCTGCAAGCTCTGGTGGACTAGTGACAAGAAGCTGCACTGCAATCCCATAGGTGAGCGTTTCGAATCCACCAGATGCTCTGCTGGGGAAGGAGGGGCAATCTCCTCCTGTACCAGTCAGATCAGATTTGATGGTACACACACACAAAATAATAAAAGTAAAATTTAAAAAGAGAGAGAAAGAGAGAGAGACTCTCGCCAAACAAGAGTTTGCCTAAAGGTTGACCACTTTCTCCTCCACAACACACAGGCCACCCTTGGAAATGCCATAAAAAAATAGGAATTAGTCATCAAAAGTAGATGAGAGGATTTTATTTGGGGATTCCCAGAGCAGATCTTGAGATATACAAGGTGGAGTCAGGGGGTACAGAGCGTGTGGCAGAAAGTCTCTCTGCGGACCCTGTTCCACACAGGTACAAATAGTTTGAGTGCAGATACTTTAATTGGGAAGTGATTCTTATACCCCGGTGAGAGATTAGGGATGTGAGAAAAGGAAGGGAGATGGCATTTAAAAGATGAGTGGTGGGCAGGGAGAAAAGTGTAACAATGAATGAACGGAAATCCAAAGTCTCTGTAAACTTTCATTCAAATCAATTTTTAAGGGGCCTGTCAGGGCGAAAAATGTGCAACTATGAATGAACGGAAATCCAAGTTCTTTATAGAGTTTCATTAAAATTTAAATAAAGAAATAAACTGACAAAAGAAAGAGATGAGTTAATGTGTAGGCAACTGGGGCTCAATCCTGCTGAAACCTCTGAGAAACAGTGTGATACATGTCTTCATAGAGGACAGATGGTTGCTCATTTACCCATTGATTCTTGACCCCTGTTGATGGAAAGGTGTTTCTGGGGTGCTCTCTCTCACTACTGGGTTAACCTGAACCAGCCCCTATGGAGTAGAAGAAAGCCTCAGATGGAGAAGCAGAGAAATGCAAGTGCTTGAGGTAGGAAGTGACTACCGGGATGTAAACAGACAGAGATGAAGAGGCATGAGATATGCCAGCAACAGCGTCTACACAGGCCACACTCTTACCTTCTGACGTCAATCCATTTGATAGTCGGCACAGATGTCTTTCTTCTGAAATATCAGGTTCTCCAAGCACAGAGATATTTCTGTAAGGCTCTGTGGAATCCATCGTCTGCAACAACACGGTAGAGTTTTTTAAAAATTTGGTCATAACTTCGGTGAAGTAAAGGTTAAGTGGTAAAGGTTATCTCTGCCATGCGGATGAGGAAGGGAAGCATTGGAGCCAAATCTCTAAGAGGAACACTCTCCTTCTCGTCACACCAAAAACCCCACATCAGTTGCTCCTCTGAAGGGTCTGAACCTAATTTACTGTGAATGAATGACTGCTGTGATGGTGGATTATTTGTTTTTATCAATCAACAGAATTTCTACCTAAGAGATAAATGATTCCCAGCACCTAGGGAACTAGACCTCCGGGGAGGAGAATGAGTCACTGAGGTTCTCAACACCTGCAGGCCAGGGTCCTGGGCTCCACTTAACTGACCTGGTTTCTCTTCATCCTCACACTTAAAAGCAAATGCCCACTTCCTCTAACAGTAAGATCTGTCCTGGGGGAACTGTAAACCAAGGTGCTCTGTAGAGGCAGCGGTGGCTGAACGCCATCTCCCATCCTGTGGGCATATCGTCAGGAAAGGCCAAGTGCTTGGAAATGACATCGTGATGGGAAAGGAGAGGACCAGGAGAGAAGAGAAGACTACTGGAGACAGACTGACAGAGAAGAGAAAGACTCTACTGGAGACAGACTGACAGAGAAGAGAAAGACTCTCCTGGAGACAGACTGACAGAGAAGAGAAAGACTCTCCTGGAGACAGACTGACAGACAAGAGAAAGACTCTCCTGGAGACAGACTGACATACTGATTCAATGGGCTTGAGCACTCTGGAGACTGACAACAGCACAGGTAGGGCAAGGTTCAGATCTGTGTTCACGCGGTTGGTCGGTAAGAGGGGCAGGCGACTCAATGGCACAGAACAAACACCACCACCAACAAGAAGGAGCCCTGGAGACACAATGGTTAAGTGTTCAGTCGCTAACTGAAGGGTCAATAGTTTTAAATGACCAGGAGCTGCAGAGAAGGAAAGAAAAACCCTAACAATCTGTCCTTAGAAAGATTATAACCCAGGAAATGCTATATAACAGCTCTGCTTTGTCATTTATGATATCTAGGAGTCAAAACTGACCTGAAGCTAAATGAAAACAACTCTATCTACTATGCTCAATCTTTCTGAAAAGAAAAAAAAAAAGAACCACTTTATCTCCTAATGTTATACTGTTATTGCTTGTATGATCCAAATTCTATTTTTTAATGCAACATATATTTTTATAGCATATTCTTTCCATTTCATTTTCTCCCCATTCATTCATTGTTGCACATTTTCCTCCCTGCCCACCCCTCCCTCCCAGTTCACTTTTCTCTTCGGAAAAAAAAATTCTTTTATTGTTATACAATCCCCCCACCCCCAGCACACACACAAGTCCACAGTCCACTTTACTATGCATTTCTTTTTCTGGAATCTTGTCATGAAAATAATATCTAATTTTATATTCCTTTTAAACAGTTCTCTCTCATCTGTTTCAATGCAGTATTGATTATTTATACATATATTTATTCTTTTACAGCATATTCTTACCATTTAATTTCCCCCCCATTCATTCATTGTTGCACATTTTCCTCCCTGTCCACCCCTCCACCCCCCAATTTGCTTTTCTCTTTGAATAGAAAAAAAATTCTTTCATTTTTATTCCAAATTCTATTTTTAAACAACGACAATCGGCATACTTCCAAGGAAGTATTTTCATAGCCACCACATCTTTCCTTTCAACAGCCAGCCAGGTAGATGCTTAAGGTTCTGAATCTATGTTTCCACAAATATACAATTTTGGGGACATGGAGTCATTTGAGAAAAAAAATAAGCCCAAGTAGCAAAGTGAATTAAGCATGAGAACTAACCAGAAAGAAGACAGGCATTTGAAATGCACCAGTTTAAGAGACACAAGGTAGCCTGCACATGTTGAGATCTAGTCTACAAGAACCATATGATCTTAGCATTTGATGCAGAAAAGGCATTTGACAAAATCCAACACCCCTTCCTGATAAAGACACTCAGCAAAGTTGGTAT